TTTATTTTCCCCCAAAGCCCCAGTAGATAGTTGTATGTCATAGCTGCACATCCTTCCAGTTGCTGTATGTGGGACGCGGCCTCAGCATGGCTGGAGAAGTGGTGCGTCGGTGCGCGCCCGGGATCCGAACCCGGGCCGCCAGCAGTGAAGCTTGCGCACTCAACCGCTAAGCCACAGGGCCGGCCCTATGTTGGATATTTAAGTCTAAATGTTTTTTCTTTCATCTTGTTAGGGAGTTCCTAAGTCTAGCTGTTATATTATTTTTTCTCCTTTTTCTTCTGAACTGCTGGACAATTGTACTTCTGTTGTCCTGATTTTTTTACAATATCTGCAAATGTCCAAAGGCAAATAGGAAGGGGTCTGAGTGCGCTTTGATTTTTGTTCTAATTTCTGTCCTTCCCCCTTATTAAGGGAATCTTAATGGCTAGCCATTATACCAATACGAGAGCTTTCTCTAAAAAAATTTTTTTCCATTTAGAAGTTTTTCCAAATCAAAGGATCCGTCATCTGGTGATTGATGAGTAGGATCTTAATAGTGACTCAAACCAATAAGCCTTTTTATGCCTTAATCTTGGATGCAAGAGGCATCCCAAAGGAGATTGCGAAGGATGCAGCCCTCCCAAGATCCAAGAAGTTCACTTTTGAACTAGTCTGAGAAAGCAAAGGCCTTCATTGCACAGGCAGTAAGGATAAAATGGTGTCTCCAGTCTCCCATGAAAACGTGGGACACCTCCAGTCACAAACCCGCTAATCTGTGACACCGGGCAGGCACTACTGGAATGGGATTTTTCCAGCACTAGCAAGCAATGAAGGTTGAGATGACAAAGGCTGCTTATGGACTGGGATCCCCTTATGACTCCCCTGAGAGCTGACACAGGCAGACAAAGAGTGTCTCGGAACCCTAGTCTATTCGACTGGCCAGCAGATACACCCTGGTAAGTGCACCTTCTAGATTGGTGGAGATCAGAGAGTATTTTCTCACTGGTCAAAAAACCAAAGCTCTCAGGACATATAATAAGATGGAAGGAAAAACCTCATACCCTGAGCCAGCTCAAGCAGGGAAACCCTTCCAAATGGTAATAGCTGTGAGCTGACTTTGCCTGTGGAATTTCCTTCTTATGACAAATGATACAAGTAGACAGAGGTCCAGGATCCTTCGGCTGCAGTAGTCCCAGAGCAAGCAGCATCCAGCCAGTTAAGTTTTCTCCTGTCCTTAGAGCCAACTGTAGGGGAGGAAGAAAATTTTCTCTACCCTCTAGGTTCTTCTGGCTGGTCTAAGAATTAAATTGACATGAGACAGATTGATAGGAGAAAATCAAATATAGTTAATTTCATAGGTTCAGGAACCCCACATACATGAGAGGTTCAGAGACAGAAAGGTAAAGTGAGGTATATATGCCATCCTGAGCTAAGGAATGGGATGGGGACCTGAGGCTTCAGAGGGGAGGAGGGTAACTCACAGAACGATAAGAAGAGCAGATGTTCAGTAATTAGAGGTTTGCCATAGAGATAGGTCATAAAAAGTTATTTCTGGTAGTAACAGGCAGGGCCCCCAATTTAATTCTTTAAGGGAGAGGTAGAAGTTTCTCAAGCCCTCGGGGTCTTGGTTCCCTTTACCTCAAAATATTCCACATGCCAGAGTGGCATATCTTGGGAGGCCTGTTCTGATCCTCCCCCCGTCACATGTGTCTTTTGGTAGTGCCAGGAATCTTCCCCCACACCAGCAACCACTCACTTTTCTTCTTGTCAGGAGAAGACATCCTGGGGGATTATTGTGAAAGGGAAGACTTTGGGGCTGGGTTTAAGCCAGTCCCCTAGTCCTACTCTTCCCTGGGTTGATGATCTGGGCAAGGTGTCCACGGCTGGCCTGAACGGAGCTCTCATCCCAACCTCAGCAGCATCATCATGTCGAGCTGCCTATTCCTCATGAAGACATTTCTCGTTCTTGGGTTCCTGGCATCCTGGGTGACTGCAGGAAAGCCTGGTGAGCTATCATGTGGGATCCCTGGCTAACCGTAAGAGAAAGTAACTAGAGAAGAAGTCATCCTCCTCCCAGTGTGAGGGTCCTCATTGGTGGAGATGGTCGTCTTGGTAGGGCAGGACTGGATGCAGAGATTCTTAGGACAGTCACGGTAGGTCTTCCTGGCTTTCTCTACCTTATTTCTCGTCTTGATTCTCAGTAAGATAACTGTGAGGTGGGGCCGGCCCGGTGGCGCAAGAGGTTAAGTGCGCGCGCTCCGCTGCCACTGCCCCGGCGTTCGCCGGTTCAGATCCCGGGCGCGCACCGACGCACCGCTTGTCAAGCCATACTGTGGCGGCGTCCCATATAAAGTGGAGGAAGATGGGCATGGATGTTAGCCCAGGGCCAGTCTTCCTCAGCAAAAACAGGAGGATTGGCAGATGTTAGCTCAGGGCTGATCTTCCTCACAAAAAAAAAAAATAAAAGATAAGCGTGAGGTGACTGGAAACCATGTACTACGAGGAACTGAGCTTACCCAGCCTGGCAAAGCCGAGACAGTGAAAGGTAGAGGGTCCTGTCTAAGGGGATGGCATGAGTCATGCTTTTGCAAGGTCTCTGGGGATAGGAAAAGGACCAATGGATGGAAATAGATTTCAATTGAGTATAAAGAAGAACTTTCTTAAACTTCAGGGTGTCTAGCTTAAGTATGAGGATGGCAAAGTCTGGCTTGGAGGTCGTGAGGCCCCATTAATTCCAGGTGTTTGAGCTGGGAGTCGGGGATTGTTTGGCAGGGATTCAAGCATCAGACAGGGTGTTGGACTGGATGGCCATGCTGGGCACTGGTCAAAGGGGATGTGCTCGACCTTCAGGGCTTCAGCCTATTCTCCAAGGGTCCCTTCATTTCTTCTAATATTTGGCAAAACCCCAGGGACCTCAAGGAAACCTGGCTTGGAAGAGAGTAGAGGTTTGGTCTGTATGCCTGGTCCTGGGGATGAGGGCAGAGGGTAGCAGAGTGTTCCTGGCATTGGTCACTTCAGGGCCAAGCCCAGGAAAATGGTGAAATCTGGGAGGTGTGCTCCTCTAGGCCCCTACTTTCTAGGGAACATGGTATAAGTCTATGAGAAGTTTATGTCACTGAGTTTTTTCCACCAGGGGGATTTTTTATGCCCAGCCTTCTCAACTGTGAGATGAAAGGCTTTGTTCTTTGTTAAATGAATTTTACTGTTTGTCAGGCAGGTGGAGGAGAAGTGGGGAGGTATATCTGTGGTTACAGTGACCATATTTTTTGAATGAAAAGTCAGGACACATAGTTTTGACGTGATCTGGTAATGGCATAGAATATTTGAACTATGGGCTGTTCAGGAAAATCCTAGGACACAGGGTTATTGATTGTTTAGCTGCGCGTGTTCTCCTTGGAGTCCAACACTTGCTTTTTCCATCGTGGCAGACTTCCCGGAGCCAGCCATATGCAGTTGACTCACATGTTCCTCCTCGGAGGCACTGGGCCAGTCCTGCTTTGCTTTTCTACAAAGCCTTTAATTGCCTGTCACTTTTTTCCTCCATTAAAAAAACTTGAAATAAACACTGAGATGAATGAGTCATTGTGAGTTGGTTTGATTTGGATGTGGCTTCTTTGGGTGTGCCTGCTCCCCAGGACCTGGCCCGCTGCCTACGTGTTTTAAGGATAGTGTAGTAGAAAGAGTGCTTCATTGCAAACCAAGAGGCTGTTTTGTCCTGCTTTGCCACTGACTCACCCTGTAGTTCTGGGCAAACCCCTTCTCTTCTCTGAGTTTCATTATCTACGCAGGGGCAGTGAAGGGGCATATCAGGAATGTGTTTGGTTGGAGACAACAGAAAATTAACCAAATAGGGGTTTGTTTTTCTCGTATAACAAGAAGTCCTGACGTAGGCACCAGGGCTGGTGTGATGGCTTCCTGATGCTAACAAGGATGCGGTTATTTCTCCTTTTCTCCTTTGCAGTCCTTGACTTTGTCCTCAAGCTAGTTGCCTCATGGTTGAAAGAAAGCTACTGTACCTCCCTGGGTTATGTCTGTCTTTGCACTGGAAGAAGAAAGAAGCGAAGGGGCAGTTTGAAAGGTGTATTCTCTGTATCAGGAATGCAGAAGTTTTCTAGCTTATGTCTTAGTTTGTGGTCACCCCTAGTTACAAAGGACTATGGGAAAGAAAATCATTTTAGCTGGCTGGGCTCATTGCCTCTCAGAACAAACCTGGGATTCTATTAACAAGAGTTTCAGTTATCTATTGCTGCCTAACAAACCATCCCCAAACTTAGTGGCTCAAAATGATAACAGTTTATTCTTTTTTTTTTTTTAATAATTTTATTTATTTATTTATTTTCCCCCCAAAGCCCCAGTAGATAGTTGTACGTCATAGCTGCACATCCTTCTAGTTGCTGTATGTGGGACACGGCCTCATCATGGCTGGAGAAGTGGTGCGTTGGTGCGCACTGGGATCAGAACCCGGGCCGCCAGCAGCGGAGCACGCACACACAACTGCTAAGCCGCGGGGCCGGCCCAGATAACAGTTTATTCTTTCTCACAGTTGTGTGGGTTGGCTGGGCTTAGCTGGGCAGTTCTTACACCCACGTGGCATAGCTGAGGCCACTCATGCAGCTGCATACAGCTGAGAGCTCAGCTGGGAGCTCGGCTGTGGCTGGAATGTCCAGAATGCCTCTCCTCATGCAGGTTCTCTCTCATCATTCCAGAGTCTAGCCAGAGCTGCTCTACAGCATGGTGGCTGGTTTCCAGGGGAGTGCTCTAAGAGGACAAGCCCCAATATGCAAGTGCTTCTCAAGCTTGTGCTTGCATCACACTTGCTGATGTCCTGTTGATCAAAGCAAGTCACAGGGTCAGGCCCAGAGACAGTATGGGAGGGTGCTACACAAGGTCGTGAATTCCAGGAGGTGTGGCTCATTGGGGGCCACTGGTGTAGGTGTCGACCACAATAAGAAAGGAGGGAGAATGAATATGGGGATGGCAACTAGTATGCCTGCCATGATGGGTTAGACCTCAACAGTGTTTTTCAGACTGTAAGTCTGGAAATCAATTTAGTAATTATGGCCAGCATTAAAAAAAGAAGAAACAGAAAGAATAGAAAGTGTCAGCATTGCATATACATGTACACACATAAATATGTACATTTTAACATACCTATGTATTAACATACACATGGGACACAATGAAAAATGTATTTTGTACTCAGAGTCGCAATAAAAATAACTGGAAACACTGGGCTTGAGCACCTCTGAGCCTCAATGCTCTGATTCTATGGCAGAGTTTGGTGGTGGATGTCCTCCCGACCCCAACCCGTGTGAGAATCTGTGTGACGGGGACACATCCTGTCCCCAGGGGCATAAATGCTGCAGCACCGGCTGTGGCCGCATCTGCCGTGGAGACATTCAGGGAGGTAGGTTGGCTCTTTGGGGAAGAAACCCTTGAGTGCTCTTTGAGTCTCAGAGTTGGTTTGGGAGGGAGCCATCTGTGGCCTCCTTCTCTTTCCCTTCCTGGAAGGAGTCAGAATTCTCGTCCTTTCTGTCCTCCTAGCCCCCCAACCCAAAGCAACACCTCCTCCTAGGGCCAAGAAACCCATGTTGGCATTAAAAGAACTAGGGGAAGCCAGTGTGGGGTAGTAGGAAGCCCAAGCATGGGGGGAGAAGGTGGTGGTCTGGGAGCCTTGCCCCTTCTGCACTCCACCCAGCCCCACCCCCAAACTCACAGTGGTATCAAACCCTGAGGTACCTCTAGGGAACTCCCTGTGGGACATCATTTGAAAGCTGTTGGTCCAGATGCTCTCTTGGGGCCCTACAGATTCTCAGATCCTCTAGCCTCAAGGTTTCCCAGCCAGATCTTTGGTTAAGATCTAGTTAGAGTCAGGGATGGATTCACCTGGAGCCCCCTTGTCTAAGTTCCAGATGGGAACTTGGAGTCAGTGGAGCCAACCATCCTCTCTCTCTCCCTGTGCCTGTTTATCCCGCAGGGCGGGACGGTGAGTGTCCAAATGTTTTGTTGGGCCTGTGCATTGTCAGCTGCATGTCTGATGATACCTGCAAAGCTGGGGAAAAGTGCTGCAAGTCAGGCTGTGGCCGCTTCTGTGTCCCAGCAGTGCTGTCATCCCTAACTGGCCATGAACCCCAACTTGACCGTCAGGTCTGATTCTGAATTAGGTGAGTACAGTCCATCGTTATCAATAACAATGGACTTAATTGCTATGTTCAAAGCACTGGCTTAGGTGCTGGGTGGGGGACTTTGGAAGGTCAAGACAAAGTTTTTGCCTTGGAGAATCTAGTTGGAGAGAAAGATATGTCACAGATCAGAACTCTTATTTAGACAGTATGGGCTTATAGGCGTTCAGAGCAGGTGTGGCTCCTTGGGAAGATCTTTCTGCTAGAAGTAGGATCTGAGTTGGGCCCTAAAGGCTTAGGCAGGATCTGACAAAGGGAGGAGTGCACAGAGAACATGCTGGACAGGTGGTCTGGTGATTCTTAGCAAAGGCACAGAGGGTGGAATGTATGTGACATGTTTGGGGAGCCGGGGTGGGGTGGGGTGAGAGCGGGTAAAGGAACAGACAGGCTTTTTCATAATGGGAGCTATAAGGTCAACATCTGAATGATAAGAGTCTTCAAAGCCAGTTTGTACTGGATTGTCTAGGAAGCAGGGAGCCATTTAAGGCTTTTGAGAGCGACATATGCCCAGCTTCTCTAGAGTAGAAGGGAAACACTGGGGAGCTGGATCCAGGAGGGCACAGTTGTGACTTCATGTTTCTTCTTCTTGCAGAGATCCCGGTGCCCTAGCTGTCCTGATTTGTCCTCAGCTTCTCTGGTGACTCCAGGGGTCTTGTCATAGCAGCCTGGAGAGGGTGATGTCCTGGGGCCTGTGACACTTCCAGGGTCTCTCATTGCTCTCTGTGCTGCTTCTGTTCCTGCTGTTGCCCTGAGCACAGGAAACATAGCCCTGGGGTTGGGCAGTGGGTGTGTGATGCTTCTTTCTCCCAATAAAGGCTGGTGCTGACCCTCTTGTTGTCTATTTGAGGGGCTAAGATGAGGAAAGAGAGCTGGGGGTCTGAGCACGGCTATGGGGTTTTGGGACTTAGTTATTTAGGAAGGATGGGTGATCCATTCTTTCTGAGAACGCTGAAAATGGGTGCTGGTTGGGTGTAGCTAGGGAAGAGATGGGTGGAAGCTAACCCTAGGGTAACTTGCCATAGTTGTCTGTCTCAAACTCCAGGAGGGGACAGTCAGGCCTCTTTTTGGGTCTGCTGACCTTTCTTTTGTTGGAGAATGTGGGTTGGAGATAGAACTGGGGTGAGTGGCTAGTTTATTGTAGTTGCTTGGATGTCCCCACCTTGGCCCTCCTTCGCTGGGTGCCAGGCCTTGGCTCTAAGACGGGCAGTTTATCCCCCCTAGGTTGCTTTACTGTAGGGAGGGGATGTCTTTAGGTTCTTGGGACCAAGATAATTTTATTTATTTATTTTTTTCCCCCAAAGCCCCAGTAGATAGCTGTATGTCATAGTTGCACATCCTTCTAGTTGCTGTATGTGGGACGCGGCCTCAGCATGGCCGGAGAAGCGGTGCGTCGGTGCGCGCCCGGGATCCGAACCCGGGCCGCCAGCAGCGGAGCGCGCGCACTTAACCGCTAAGCCACGGGGTGGCCCCAGAATTCTAGTTTCTTAAATAGATCCTGGCAAAAAGAAAATAGGCCCTGAATAAGTATTTGTTGAATGAAAGAATGAATGTAATTCCCGAGTCTATCGATTAGGAAACTGTTGGGCTGCAAGTAGTAGAAAACCCAGCTAACAGTGGCTTAGCCAATAAAGACATTTAGTTTTCTCACATTGGAGTCTGGAGAGAGGCGGTAAGGCTGGTGCAGCAGCTCGACTACACGCTAATGACCAGGCTGGTTTCTTCTTTCTCTACCATCCTCAGTGTGATGGCTTTTGTTCTTGTGTTGGTCACCTCACAGGTGCAGGATGGTTGCTGCTGTTCAAGATGTCACAGCAGGAAGAAGGTGTGTGCAGAAGGCAGTGGCGAAAAGACCTTTACGTCAAAATTTCTGTTTAATGATGGAGGCCGTCTTCCCCAGAATTGCCCTCCACCGCCACCCCGGACTTCCCTTGTCATCTCATTGGACTGTTGCCGCAAGGGAAGCTGGGAAAGCAAATGTCTGCAGATGGGACTGGGAAAGCATGACTGTCTTAGATTAATCATGCTTCATCCCTGAGGCTGAGGGAGGGGCCCACGGGGATATAACAATCAAGGTTCTATTAGCAAGGAACAAGGAGAGAATGCTTTTTGGGTAGGTAGGTGATGAACTGTATGAGTCATACTGGGTCAAAGGACATATGCATTTAAAATTTGGACAGAAATTGCTAAGTAGGCAGTGCTTTTATAATAAGAAAAAAAAGTGAGCATCAGTGCTCACCTTGAATATTGCAAAGTGCTTTTGTAATTCCCAACTTTAATGGGAAAAGGTAGGTATAACTTAAAAATTTCCCATCACTGCTGTGTTTTTGTGCACCTTTCCCTCCTCTCTTTTCACACTGGCATCTGAAATTCTGGTTTCTACTGGGCTCAAAACATTAATCTCTTTGAGTAGAGTAGACATGTCAGTGTTGCCTGATCTGAAAAAGAGTGGCTGGTGTGAGCCTGGCAGTGGCCATCCTAGGGACACCCACGGCTCCAGGCTCATGTTACAGGGAACTGGGAAGGATGGGTGTCAGTGTGATAGGCTGCTGAACATTTTGGCAGATCCCCCTTCCATTGTTTTGCTTATTATTTTATTGTTTATTTAAAAAATCAAGATAATACACACATAGTTTAAAAATCAGTACGGAAGAGCTTTCAATGAAAAAAATCAGTCTGGGAATCTTAAAATACTGTAGGATGATTTTCTGCCAAGATAGAGGGCAGGACTGGAGAGGGAGGTGTGAGCCCCGGGTGCAGCTCAGGCTCATGGCACCGGGAGAGGGATCCCTTCCAGATCTTTCCTTCTCATCTGGGCCAGCCCACCCTGTCCACATGGGAGCTGCTGACCTTTCAGCCCTGAGATTCTCTCTTCTCAGCAGAGCAGGTCCCGGTGGGAGGAGCTTGGCCCTGGATATCTCTGACCCATTCATACTTATGCTCTCATACTTTCTCATTCATACTACGGTCACTCTGCTATCCCGTTCTTACCTACTGACCATCAGATGGCAGCTCTTGAATTGTTTTCTTCCAACAATGACTTGGCCCTAGCTCTAGTCTGGACTAGGACGCCAGTGCACTCAGGACAGGGAAATAAAATGGAGTTTGGGGGCAGAGCCAGACACTGAAGATGGGGTGAGGGTGTTCAGTGAGGGCTCAAGACCTATTTGGAATGGCGGGAGCTCAGATGCTCCTCCCCTCGGACCCTGGGCTCAGCTTTGCTTCCGAGAGAGATGTGGGAGCCCCAATGGGCCAGGAGGTTTCAGTGGAATTTTTTGCTGGGTGAGTTTCTTCTCAGAGCCACCAGAGGGCAGCAGAGGTCTAAGTAATAGACCATTTCCAGGCAACAGAAACAAAACGATATTCTAGAAGCCTAGTTAAGGGAAAAGTACACTATCTATTGTCTGAGTTCCTCCCGGCTTTTTCAAGCCAGTTTGAGAAAAAGTTACATAGCTGGGTCTCTACTGCAGATCCCTACTGAATTGCACTTAATTTAAGACCTAACATTATGCCCTCCCTTTTCACATGATGTGGAATGCTTCCACAATTTGGGTAACATTTATCTTGGGGACATTATCTGTCCCCAAGATCCATGTTGTATCAATTTTCTTGTACAAAGCCACAGGGAAAATTCTTTGTGGATCTCAAGGTCAGGAAAAAGTTTCCCTCTCGTGGTGAGCTATTATAAGGACGGGCAGCGAAATAACTTATTGGGCAACACCAGAGCTGGTTTCATTTTTTGCCTTGGCTACCAGGTAGCCAAGAGCTACCTGGGTTTTGGAGTGAGACCTGGGTTTGAATCTAGACTCTTCTGCTGCTTGTTAACTCTGTGCAAAATGAATGAGGATAATAACATTATCACATTACCCACCTCACAGGCTTGTTAGGAAGAGTCAATATATAAAGAAGGCACTTAGCACAGAAGCTGACACAAAATGCACACTCAACAAATGTCAGCTATTGTTATTCAGTTTCTCTGACAAAATTAATCTCTTCTTGCTACCCTCTTTTATTACTTGTCTTTTTACTCTTGGTTTAGTGATTTTCAGTTTCATGTAATATGTTTTTTGGTATTAAGTTCCTCAAATCCTGTGTGGAGGAGGGTGGGGTATACATAAATGAGAGGTTAGTTCCAGTATAATTCTTGGGCAGAAAGAAACATCTAGAGCAGCACTCTCCAATAGAAATAGAACGTGAGGCACATGATGTAATTTCAAATTTTCTAGTAGCCACATTAAAAAAGTAACAAGCTTGGTGGTTCCTCAAAAAGTTAAACATAGAGTTAGCATATAACCCAGCAATTCCGCTCTCAGGTATATACCTCAAGGAATCGAAAACAAGTGTTCAAACAAAAACCTGTACATGAATGTTCACAGAAACACTATTTGCAATAGCCAAAAGGTGGAAGCAACCCAAATATCCATCAATAGATAAATGGATAAACAGTGTTAAAAGGATTTGTGGCGCTGCCAAGACCGTTGGGCAAAATCCCCTCTGCCCAGAGATATCTCCATTCTGACTGTCCTCAGGTTCTTTGTGCCCTGACAGTGTCATACAGGTAGCCAAGTATGACGTGAGCCTAGGGGAAGGGCCCCCTTGGGGGTCAGTGAGATGTGTTGCAGAGAAGCCAGGCTCCTGCCCTTCCAGCTCCCTGAGCTGCTGTTACTCTGCAAGCCCTCGCTGTGTGAGTGACCGGCACTGCCCTGCTGTCCAGAAGTGCTGCCTCTTCAATCGCCAGCTTCGGTGCCGGGTCTTCTTGGAAGGTAGCAGCCAGGAGAGGCAGAGGACTGTTGTGAGGAGGGGACAGAGGGTTTTAAGGATGCAGAGCGCCCCATGTATCAGTTAAAATGAAATTTGCCTGCATATGTCAGGGAACCCTCCCCAAAGAGTGGCTGAAAAGAAGTTTATTTCTTCTGTAAAAGAAGTCTGGTGGTAATTAGACCAGGCTTGGTTGGGAGGCTTTGGAGTTTCAGAGACCCAGAATCCCTCTGTCTTGTTGCACCACCATCTCATCGTCTATGGTGGCTTCTTGAGCCCCATGCAAATCTGCAACTTCAGCCCCCAGGGAAGAGAAAGGACTGAGGAAGTCATGCCTCTTCCCTTGAAGGACATTTTCTGGAAGTTACACAGGATCCTTGCACTGCCTTGCCATGAAGGGTAGCCATAGATCTAGATTCTGGACAACTGAATGTACATCAATACTGAAACAGAAAGAGTCTCATTTGAACTTTGTTTCAATCTTTATTCCCTAGGATAGATTTCCAGAATGAAATTCCTGGGCTAAAGGATGTGCATATTTAAAATTTTGATAATTATTGCCAAATTGTCCTCTAAAAGGTTTAAATCAATATATACTCCCAATAATCTTTGAGAATTTTTGTTTCCCTACTCCCTTTATTTTTTCTATTATCTTTGTGACTTCCCAGCAGTTAACACAGTGCCTTGCATACAAGTAAGTATTTAAAAATTGTTGAATTGGATTGAATTTCCATTGCTTTTTGAATCTTCTTTTCCTCTGTTATGTGCCCTCAGAAATCTCACCAGCCCATTTTGTGGTTTACATGCTCTTGTTCTTTCATTCAGCAGTTATTTATGGAGTGTTCACTGGTTCA